GGGGTCACTCACCGTCATCAAGGTGATTAATGGATTTTTATAAATCTAGTTCCTTTCTGTTTTATAATATGCTTTGTCACTTAATAAAATATAGTTTTTTTTCTCATTGCCATATTCTCTTACAATTGCTTTTAGTAACTGTTTAGTGTTCCAGTGAATAGATTTATTAAATGAACTACTTATTAAATCAATGTCCTATTGTTGGAGATTCTCCCTCACCCTATATTATTCCTACAAATGATACTTCATTGAGCATCTTGGTAAGGATGCCATTGTGCCTAAATGTGTAAAAGTTGAATTACTGCTTCAAACCACGTGTGTATTTGGGGGCTTTTGATATATTGACAAATAACCCTTCAGAGAAATAGTATCAACTTACTTTCCCAACAGTAATATGTGGGAGTACCCTTGTCGGCACTATTTATTGTATCAACCTTTGCCAATGTCATAGGTGTAAAAAGTTACCTTGTTATTTTAATTTTAATATTTTTCTTAAGTTGAAAACTTATTTCCCATCAGAAAATGCTATAAGAATCCTTTATATATTTAAGGCATTAGCCATTTGCCATTGGTATTGCAGATGGTGATCTGCATAATCCTAAAATAGATTTGGAGAAACTGAGGCATTTAGTTTATTTAGAATTGTCACCATCAGCTGCCTGCAGAAGACGCCCTTCAGGGAAAATGGTATTGCTATTCCAAAAGGCATGCATACATCATACTAACTTGGCCACATTACAGGGATAATTTAACGTGTTTCAACTAAAGGTATCTGAGCATCTACTAGGTACCTAACTCTGTATCTTACCATCTGGTGAGGGAAACTGTATACAACGAACCATAATGCAGAATTAAAAGCCATGCTTGCAGCCTGGTGTGGTGGCTCACGCTTGTAATCCTAGCACTGTGGGAGGCCAAGGTGGGCGAATCACCTGAGGTCAGGAGTTTGAGACCAGCCTGGCCAACATACCAAAACCCCATCTCCACTAAAAAACTACAAAAATTAGCCAGGCATGGGAGCACATACCTGTAGTCCCAGCTACTCAGGAGGCTGAAGCAGGAGAATCACTTGAACCCAGGAGATGTGAGGTTGCAGTGAGCCCAGATTGCACCATTGCACTCCAGCTTGGGCAACAGAGTGAGACTCCATCTAAAAAAAAAAAAAAAAAAAAAAAAAAGCCATGCTTGCAATCTCAACAAAACACAATATGAGCACATCGGTGAGGTAAATTAATGCCTTCATTCCTGATGAGGAAATGATGGAGTAGCAATGGGGGAAGATTGTTCAGAGGACTTGATACGCATGTGAAGCAAAGAGGTGGTGAGAAGCGGGTGGCGCAGCGTGTGGGATGAATGTGCACCGTAAGAGGTCCAGTCTCACTGCGGTGCCCTAGCAAAGTGGGACGCTTTGGAAAAATAAGGCAGGAAGAGGAGTTGAGGTCACATGCTGAATATCCTTGGATACCATGTTAAGATAAAGATATTTTAGAAGATGTCCCACATTCTGGAGCTGATTCTGAGATGCAAAAGATAATGAAGATGTGTGGGCACAAGTGTGACCTGCCAACTGCACCCTGCTTTTTGTAAAATGTGAGTAAGAGATCTTGGTTAAAATCCATGTTGCCTCTGCAAAGCCATGGAGGTGAAAGCCATGGAGGTGTTCAGGCTTCTCAGGAGGACACTGAGCATTGCAAGGTTCATATCAGCACTCACTCTGGCACAGTTTTCAAAGCTCAGCACCTCCCCCTCCCACCCTACACTCCCCATCCAGCATGTGGATGGATTCTAACCCTGTGATGGCATTCTCTTCGGTTGAGGTAAAGACAGGAATCTTTTTTCTGAGCTGCACCCGGCATGCTTCAATATCTTCAAGCAGATGGTCAGCCTAAAAGTGTGAGGACAGCTCAGGTCCTCCTGAGGGGATGCTTGCAGGAGATGGACAGAGCTAACTGAAGGATTTCAGGAGAAATATGCTTCAAGAAAGAGAGCATGTCATCTGTGGATTTGGCAGAAGTGGACATATCGCTTAGTGATGAGTTGCAACTTTTAGGCAAATTGCTTGGATCTTCTGAGCTTTTATTTCCTTATCTGAGAAACGGGGTCATAGTATCCATTGACAACAGATACTGTGCTGATGAGATGAAATACATACACACGGTTTCTGACATAAAGCAGGCATCCTATAAATGCATTTCTCTCGTCCTCATCCCTTCTTCATAAAAAGGGAGTTTGGGAGGCAGAGTCCCTCGGACAACCTCTGGGAATCTGGGGCAGCCAGCACTAACTCGGAGCGAGGGAGCCTGTGCCAAAGCATGCGGAATCTCTAGAAACCATGTGAGTTTCTGTTCATCACCGTGCCAATAAAATGCCATCGGATATTAAGAGAATTCCTTCTGAGTCTAAGCATTTCTAAATACCTTTCCTGGATTGAGAAAGCAAACCGTGTAAAAGCCAAGCGTGAAAAGACTATTCTGTTTGCAAAGGCATTTTTCCCATCCTCCCTGGCTTGTCACGTTCTGTGACTGGACTCATGCACCCAGCTGGCAGCTGCACCAGCCAGACCCTGAGGTAACTATAGTTTAGGCCTTTTTTTTTTTTTTTCCTACTCCAGAGCCTACAAATTCTATTTCAAGCATATGCATGTACAGAATGCAGATGTGGGGATGAAAATCAGACCATCTTGGGGAGCGAGGCTGCGATACTTAACTGTAGGGAGGCCATTAGTGGCCTTTCTGCAGTGGCCTCGCCCAGACATGGCTGGGGCATGGACCTCAAGAGTGGTTTTGGCCTTTTGATGTAGCATAGCAATCACATGGGACAATCACCACACTTCCCACTTGGGGCCAAGGCATTGCGTGATCTGTGATCAGACAGGCTTGAAAGGTGTTTTCTGCATTCTGAGGAATGTGTAACAGCATGGAGTTTCTGGAAAACTAGTTCCCTGAAAAAAGCTGAGGTTCAACACAGGGATGAATGGAGAGGGGACATGGAGCTCTTATGCCTGACATGAAAGGACTGCTCTAGTCAAGGAAACAGCCACTTCAGAATGTGTTTCTACTGTGGATACAAACCAAGGGCGAGGTCACTAGGCTGGTTACATCATCTAGCAAAAGCTCTTGTAGCTGGGATAGACCGGCAAATGAGACATTCCTTTTCAGTGACTGATACATCATTCATTTATTCATTCAGCAAATATTTATTGAGAAACTACTATGTAACAGGTAGTCTCATAGGTACTAAGGATACAGTAGCAAACAACAAAAACTTAAAAAAAAAATCCCTTAGCCCTAGCTACTCTTGAAGCCTGGAGTTTGAGGCTGCGGTGAGCTATGCTCATACCACTGCACTCCAGCCTGGGTGACAGAGCAAGACTCCATCTCTTTAGAGATAATTAAAATATGAATTATAACATAGAGTAGAAAATGCTAAGAAAACAGACATAAAGCAAGTATAAAAGTATGAAATAGTACGGAGAATGGGTACTAAAATTCTAGCCGAGGGAGCCAGGTAAGAGAAAACAGCTTTAATAGAGACCTGACTGATGGTTTGGATAGAGATAGACCTAGATCAAAAATATTTCCCTCCAGGTTTTCAAAGGCATTGCTCCATTATCTTTTGGTTTCTGAAGTTCCTGCTGAGAAAGCTATTGCCTTTCTGATACCTGCTCCTTCCTATGTGACTTTTTACCTGTACTGGGGGCTTTTAGAGTTTCTGTTTTCCTCCTGTCTTCTGGAATGTCTCAGTGACAAACCTGTGTGTTGAGTATTTCATGAACTTTTACAATCTGCGATCTCATGTCCTTCAATTTACAGGGAAAAAAGAACATTCTTTTTTCCAACACTGTTTTGGAAAACTCTGTTTTTTCTGATTTCTTTAACCTAAATCTCTATTACTGGGGATCTGGGTGCTCTGACATAATCCTATGTTTCATATTGCTTTTCTCTCTTTTCCCATCTCTGCTTCTTTTTTGGGGGGGGGGGGCTCCACTTTCTGAGATTGCATCAACTTTTCTTCTTCACTGAATTTTTAAATTCTGCTCTCATGGTTCCCAGAGACTGGTCTTATCCTCCAAATGCTCCCACTTTTTCTGGACTGTCTGATCTCTTCTGAGTTTCTTTTTCCTGTTTCTTTGGGTGTTTTCATTTGTGTTAGAAGCTTTTATAAAAAATGTTTGTGAAATCTCGGGAGTCTGTTAATGTAAGAGGGAGGCACAGTTGTCATTTCGGGAAGTTTTATACGTGGCTTTGGCTGCTTCACTATGGGGTGACCAGATAGAACCTGAATATGACCCTCAAAAATCTGTTTGTCAGGCTAGGTGTGGTGGCTCATGCCTGTCATCCCAGCACTTTGGGAGTCTGAGGTGGTCAGGTCACTTGAGCCCAGGAGTTCAAGACCAGCCTAGGCAACATGGCAAAACCCCATCACTGAAAAAAAAAAAATACAAAAAATTAGCTGGATGTAGTGGTGCCCTCCTATGGTCCCACGTACTCAGGGGGCTGAGGAGGGAGGATAGCTTGAATTCATAAGGTTGGGGCTGCAGCGAGCCCTGATCGTGTCACTGCACTCCAGCCGAGGCAACACAGCAAGGCAAGACCCAGTCTCTCACACACCAAAGTTTGTCTCTTCTCATGGGTCATTCAGCATTCCTAGAGGGGGACCCTCCAGTGTCCTGACTAAGGTGCTGGCCCCTTTGCCAGCATTCAGTCGAGGACACATCAGCTCCTTCCCCTATGCCCGGTCAGCCGGAATCCAGTGTGTTTGGTGTGGGCTCTTCCATCTTCTGTGGATGCGATGGTGGCTACTTGGCTGAGTACGGTGGGAAGAGAGATGGACATCTGCTACATCAGTGGTCCCTGGCCTTTTTGGCACCAGGAACCGGTTTTGTGGAAGAATTTTTCCACGGACAGAGTTAGGGGGAGATGGTTTCAGGATGATTCAAATGCATTACATTTAGCATGCACTTTATTTTTATTATTATTGCATTGTAATATATAATGAAATAATTATACAACTCACCATAATGTAGAATCAGTGGAAGCCCTGAGCTTGTTTTCCTGCACCTAGTCAGTCCCATCTGGAGGTGATGAGTGACAGTGACAGATCATCAGGCATGGGATTCTCTTAAGGAGCATGCAACCTAGATCCCTCACCACGCGCAGTTCACAATAGGGTTCATACTCTTATGAGAATCTTATGCTGATGCTGATCTGACAGGAGGCGGAGCTCAGGCAGTAATTCGAGCAATGGGGAGCGGCTGTAAATACAGATGAAGATTCCCTCACTCAACCATGGCTCACTTCCTGCTATGTGGCCCGGTTCCTAACAAGCCAAGGACTGGTACTGGTTTGTGGCCTGAAGGCCAGGGACCTTTGTGCTATACCATTTTAAAATCAAGTTCAGTCAGGCATCATGCATTCAACTCACTCTGCATTTCTACCTTCAGAAGGGTCGGGAGCCTCATTTCCTGAGTTTCCCTGGCTCTGCGTGTTTTATGTTGAGTTATTCCCTTGAAGGTTTGGGTGTCAGCTTGCTCTTGTCTACTGTTACTTCCTCTCTCATTCCCTTACTTCTTTGATGTATGCTTTTGTATCCCTTATTGTCACTTTTAATGGAATTTCTGGAGGAAGCAGAGACAAATGTATTACATGGGCTGCCATATTGAACCGGAAGTCATTCTTTTCTCTTTTGAGTTTCTCTTGCCAAAGCTTACTCCAGTGGTAGTAGTTCACCCCCAGTAGATTCTCACAAAAAGCAAGACTCAAATTCAGTGTCAGGATTGTAGATACCCTGTTTCAGTTACCTGTTTCTGAATAACAAGTCACCCTAAGCATAGTGACTTTACATGACAGTCATTTATTTGCTTACGATTCTGCAATTTGGACAGTGCTTGGAGGGGCCATCTCATTTATGCTGGCATCAGCTGGGGTAGCTCACCTGGGACTGGGGAGTCCACTCCCAAGATGACTTATCCACATAACCTCAGTGGTTCCAGCTGTAAAATGCAGGCTTAGATGGGGTGGTTCTTCAGCATGTGACTTCCCTGTGTGGCTTGGTTGGACTCCTGAGAGCTGAGTTCTGAAAGGAAACATCCCCAAAGCAAGCTCACCAAGAGGACATACTCCAGGGTGCAAACACATATCAAGCTTTCCTTTTGCTTCACACTTGCTAATATCCCATTAGCCAAAGCAAGTCACACAGCCAAGCCCAGAATCAACGTGAAACAGAACTGCTCTCCACAGCGGGGTGAATGCTGGGAGGCAGGGTGCGCTGGGGGTCACATACCCCCTGGGAACTCTGGGATCCTGAGCTTTATCCATTGTATTTCTGAAACATTGAGGTGCTGGATTCTTTTCTTATAGATAGTTTAGCACGATATAAACATTCAATAGGTATGTATTAGAACCACAGAAATCTTGTTGCATTTCCACTGAAAATGTTTCTGAATGGACTAGAAAGATTTCAGCTATGTAGCTTACCCATGGCTATAATGATTGTGTTCCTAGTTAATGAAAGACATGAAAAAAAAAATCACTCTATGAGGTCAGATTTCTAAATATACCTTTCCAGGGAATTAAGTACTGTCTTTTTTTTTTTTTTTTTTTTTTGGCTGGAGTGCAGTGGCGTGATCTCAGCTCACTGCAGCCTCCCAGGTTCAAACAATTCTCTTGCCTCAGCCTCCTGAGTAGCTGGGATTACAGGTGTGTGCCGTCACACCCGGCTAATTTTTGTATTTTTAGTAGAGATGGGGTTTCACCATGTTGGCCAGGCTGGTCTCAAACTCTTGACCTTAAGTGATTCGCCTGCCTCAGCCTCCCAAAGTGCTGGGATTACAGGCGTGAGTCACCACACCTGGCCAAGTATTGTCTTTTGCTTTAGGCTATCAGAGGTTTGCTTCTTGCATGTTTGTTTGTTTTTGAGTCAGAGTCTCACTCTATTACTTAGGCTGGAATGCGGTGGTGCAATCACAGCTCACTGGAGCTTCCAGCTCCTAGGCTCAAGTTATCTTCCCACCACAGCCTCCTGAGTAGCTGGGACTACAGGCATGTGCTACCACACCCAGCTATTTTTTTTTTCCCAAAGAGATGGGATCCCACTATATTGCCCAGGTGAGTCTCGAACTCCTGGCCTCAAGTGATCCTCTTGCCATGGCCTCCCAAAACACTGGGATTACAGACATAAGCCATTGCACCCAGCCCTTGAATTTAAAATAGTTGAAAATTAGGCTCTTTAACACCTGCTTGGACTTCAAAGAATGAAGGTGGGTACTTATGCAATAACCAAACAGTGCATTCCTTGGAAATTCCAAACTAGATCTCTTGTTACATGCTTGCCAAACTGGTCCTGAATGTTCCCAGGTGCAGCAGGAAAGAAGTGGCGCAGCTTGTGCTGTATCCCCTCAGTCTTGACCTGTGACTAGTAACTGTTTCGTCTGTGTGCAGGGGTTCTCTATCTCCAGTATGGAGACGAAACCAAGCAGCTCAGGATGCCGAACGAGATCACAAGTGCAGACACAATCCGTGCTCTCTTCGTAAGTGCCTTCCCACAGCAGCTCACCATGAAAATGCTGGAATCGCCCAGTGTCGCCATTTACATCAAAGATGAAAGCAGAAATGTTTATTATGAATTAAATGATGTAAGGTAAGTTGTGACATCATTTTTTGCCCGCAATATTGCATTAGAGTTTTTCTGTTTGTTTTTGAGTTTGTTTGTTTTTACCCACTATGTTGCACCTAGAGTGTGTGTGTGTGTGTGTGTTTTTTTTGGTCCATCATATTGCTTTCATAGAGTTTATACCAAAATCTGACTCCTCTGTATCCTAGTGAAGAAAGCAGATTCATTATCCTGATTGGTAGGCTTATTTCACTATCTGGTTTTCTACAATTCATTTGCAAGGTATAGCTTATAAAAATGAGGAGAAACTTCTCCCCCACAGATTGTTGGATGCTACATCTGAAAAGAACATTAGAAATGATTGAGTTCACCATGTTATCTAAGAGTTAGGGAAACTAAGGCCCAGAAAGGTGGTGGAGAGACCTGATCAAGGGCGTAAGAGTTGAAGGCAGTACTTGATATTGGCACTTTCCCAATTCCCTCTCAAGTGTTCTTTCCTCCATAGACAGCCCCTGTGGACATTTTAGGTAATGATCCCACTGGGTCATTATTTACACATAACACGTTAGAATAAAAGCAGTGGACTCTGTATTATTTCCCACAAGAAAAGAAACTGAGGAGCATCCTCACTTTCCATTCATTTCTTAAATAGTTGTCCTTTCCCCAAAGATCTTACTGTCCAGGTAACCTTTCTCCAGGGCGCCCAGTTGAATATCCTCCAAAATTAAGCTCAATGGACTCCTGCTATTGATGGGACTGAAAGTCAGTTAGAAACAAAAGCATCTCTGTCTCTCTCTCTCTTTTTTTTTTTTTTTTTTTTTTTTTTTTTTTTGAGACAGAGTCTTGCTCTGTCGCCCAGGCTGGAGTGCAATGGCACGATCTCGGTTCACTGCAACCTCCGCCTCCCGGGTTCAAGCGATTCTCCTGCCTCAGCCTCCCAAGTAACTGGGGTTACAGGCACCTGCCACCAGGCCCAGCTAATTTTTTTGTACTTTTAGCAGATATGGGGTTTTACCATGTGGGTCAGGCTGGTCTCAAACTCCTGACCTCAGGTGATCTACCCGCCTCAGCCTCCCAGAGTGCTGGGATTACAGGTGTGACCACCGTGCCCAGCCTCATCTCTCCTTTTTTGAAGACAGGATCTTGCTCTGTCACCCAGGCTGGACCTCAGTGGCATGATCATGGCTCAGTGCAGCCTCGACCTTCTGGGCTCAAATGATCCTTCCACCTCTGCCTTCCAAGTAGCTGGGCCTACTGGCACATGCCACCACATCTGGCTAATTTTTAAATCTTTTGTAGAGACAGAATCTCCATACGTTGCCCAGGCTGGTCTGGAACTCCTGAGGCAAGCCATCCTCTAGTCTTGGACTCCCAAATGGTTGTGATTATAGGCGTGAGCCACCACACCCGGCTCAAAAGCATCTTTATTGTCATTTTGGTGTCATGTATATAGCAGGAAGAACTCATTTGATCTGTTCCAACCAGACAACCTGGAAAACAGGACTTAGATCAACACAAGCAATCAGTTGCTAGTATGGCCTCTGAACATTTTAGAACTCCACAGGTTATTGAGTGACTGGTCCAGCCATTTCATTTTATGGAACCAGAAACTCAGACTCATAAAATTTGAAGGACTTATTCAAAAGCACACAGCCAACTAAGTACCAAGCTCTGCCCCAAACATGGCTGTCCACATTTCTTTTTTTCTTTTTTTTTGAGACGGAGTCTCGCTCTGTCGCCCAGGCTGGAGGGCGGTGGCACAAGGTCTCTGCTCACTGCAAGCTCCGCCTCCCGGGTTCACGCCATTCTCCTATCTCGGCCTCTGAGTAGCTGGGACTACAGGCACCTGCCACCATGCCCGGCTCATTTTCTTTATTTTTTAGTAGAGACGGGGTTTCATCGTGTTAGCCAGGATGGTCTCGATCTCCTGACCTCGTGATCCACCCGCCTCGGCCTCCCAAAGTGCTGGGATTACAGGCATGAGTCACCGCACCCGGCTGCTGTCCACATTTCTTGGTCAAGAACTTTTTGATCCCTTGGAATGTTCCCTCACCAAATCATTGGGGGCAGGACTTGGGGTTTCTGAGTCCACACCCTGGGGGGATAGCAAGTTGCCCTGTTTCTTCATCAGGGAATTAATGGGTACCACTTTTTAAAAATATGCCTTTAGTGCATAATAAATGTAAAGTGATCTGTATCTACCAATGATCACGAATGACATATTTAGGCATGTTCCCAGGTGTATGAGTAATTTAGAACTTTCAAAGTTTGACACATGCCTCCAGGTATAGATGCTACATCTGTTGCACAACCTTACAGCTTTTTAAAAATGTGTTTAAATATTCATGAGTACCCGAAAATTCGTGTTTAGTTTTGAACTAAATTATTAATCAAGCTGTCACCGAAAGAAATTTTTTGCATTCACAAAGTGTAAACTTGAAACATGAAATAATCACATTATATTTAAAGACTATGTTTGTAGTAATATAATCCCATGTAGTGTTTTTACACGGAGCTGCCAGTTACAACAATCCTCTTATATTTCTGCATTTGCAATTAGAGGAATTGAAGGACACAGTAATAGCAAGTAAACATGCAACTTAGGGAAGCCACACTTGATTATGGAGCTCAAGGCTGACGAGGTTATTATGAGTAATTGGGCCTCACTGTCTTGCAGCCTGTGCAAGGATTTTTATATTACAATGAGTCACCATTTTCTAGAGCCTTTCCCAAGCTTCAAAGTATGGCTACTTTGACTTCCTTTTTACACTGTTTGGGAAAGTCGAGAAGTAGTCACAAAATAAAAGAAATGAGAGGGAGGAAAAAGAAGAAAAGGTCATGATTCTCCTTAATGGAAATCCAGTTGATAAAATGAATGAAATCATCAGTCAATATGCTGATGTTTGTGAAAATGATGATCTTGTTGATCTAAAAGTTGTAGTACTAATAACCTGACTTCTTGTTGTTGGTGGTGGTGGTGGTGGTGGTGGTGGTGTTGTTGAGACAGAGTCTCACTCTGTCACCCAGGCTGGAGTGCAGTGGCGCGATCTGCTCACTGCAAGCTCCACCTCCCAGGTTCACGCCATTCTCCTGCCTCAGCCTCAGGAGTAGCTGGGACTACAGGCGCCCGCCACCATGCCAGGCTAATTTTTTGTATTTTTTAGTAGAGACGGGGTTTCATCGTGTTAGCCATGATAGTCTCGATCTCCTGACCTCATGATCCGCCCGCCTCAGCCTCCCAAAATGCTGGTGAGCCACTGTGCCTGGCTTTTTTTTTTTTTTTTTTTTGAGACAGAATCTCACTCTGTTGCCCAAGTTGGAGTGCAGTGGCATGATCTCAGTTCACTGCAGCTACCACCTCCTGGGTTCAGGCAATTCTCATTCCTCAGCCTCCCGGGTAGCTGAGACTATAGGTGTGCACCACCATGCCAGACTAATTTTTGTATATTTAGTAGAGATGGGGTTTCACCATGTTAGCCAGGTTGTTCTCAAACTCCTGACCTCAAGTGATCTGCCCACCTCGGCCTCCCAAAGTGCTGGGATTATGGGCATGACCCCACTGCTCCTGGCCTGATAGCCTAATGTTTTTTAAAAAACTCTCATTTAAAATATTTAAGTGGAAAGATCATCAGTTTATAAATTTGTCTGTAATTTTACTTTTCAGTTACTTTGATTTAAATATAAAAAATGAACCTAAAAATGTTCAAATGAAGACTATGTTTTATTTGGTGATGACAATAATGTTTATGCTATGTGAGCACATGCATGTCGCTTCCAAAGAATTATTCTCTCTTTGATTTTATGCATAAAATGCCTTGATTATATTTTACTTGAATTGTAGAAGAAATTTTCGCCACCAGCATTACATAAGACGAAAAAAAAAAGGCTGGGCGCAGTGGCTCACGCCTGTAATCCCAGCACTTTGGGAGGCCGAGGCGGGCAGATCAAGAGGTCAGGAGATCGAGACCATCCTGGCTAACACCGTGAAACCCCATCTCTACTAAAAATACAAAAAATTTGCTGAGCGTGGTGGCGGGCACCTGTAGTCCCAGCTGCTGGGGAAGCTGAGGCAGGAGAATGGCGTGAACCCAGGAGGCGGAGCTTGCAGTGAGCCAAGATCGCACCACTGCCCTCCAGCTTGGGCGACAGAGCGAGACTCCGTCTCAAAAAAAAAAAAAAAAAAAAGACAAAAAAAAGTATCATGTAGATTTCAACTGAAGACAGTGACTTTCATCATCTAAATTCAGAGACAAATTTCATTGCACATCCTTCAGTGTTTCTGAAGTGCGAGCATATTTGTTAAACAGTTGCCTATTTCATCATCGTTGTTAGGCTCCTCATATTTTCCTTAGGGAAATGCTACGGAGAGTTCAGGTCAGAATATTGTGTTGTAAATATTGCCACAGTAAGTGCAACCCCGGCCTTTACTGTTGGTTCAGCTCAGATGAATATGTTTCTAAAGTCATGATAAACCAACCTCATGCATTTTAAATACCTCCAGAATCACAGTCTTTTTCATGGCTCCCGTGAGGTTTTCTATTTTTTCATGTCCTCGCCTGTGACTCCTTCCTCTGGCCCAGTGGTGAGCCCCTTAGTGGATCCCCACATCCTACCTCTGTGAGTCTCCCCTTCATAGTCACTCAGCCCCCTTTAATAACAAGGGCTGCTGGTTCCCCCTCAAGCCGACTTCTAACAAGCTACTGGAGAAACCGTGCAAGCTTGGGCTAGTCGTTGCTTCAAAGCAATTACTGGCGGATATTTAAAGAAGAGAAACAAGACTAGTCCAGGAATCCTCCACTTCAGTTAAAACAGAAACACAAGCCAGTAATCCCAGTGGTTGGGTCAGCCTACTAAATGAGGCTGCACCTGGAGGAGAGGAATTCGTCCTCCTGCACACATTTCTCTGAGCTAGCCGAGCCGGCATTGGAAGGGATCGCAGTGTAGACAGAGCCAAAAGGGCCCTGGGTGGCCCTTTTGCTGATGAAAGCTGAACATGGAGGGAGAGGGACTTCGTAGATATTCAGGTGCTCTTCAATAATTTTAAGGTAGGCTCTGACCCTGTCTTTTGCTACGTTATGACACCTTGGCTCTAAGAGCTGGGTTCGGAGAAAAAAGAAGCACTTATCTGCTGCTATTTCTTTACATCCAGCAATTCGATTTGTACATAGAAAAACTATTTTTCTAACCCACTATGGAAAGGAAAAAGGCATAGTAAAAATATTAGATGTTTGTGATACTGTTTCTTTTTTTTTTTTTTTCTGGACTCCAGATACCTTTTCTTTCAGTTGCCGAAAGTGTTTGAAGGCAAAAAAAAAGAAAAGAAAAGAAAAGAAAATCTTCTTTCATGTTCATTCATTAGATAAGCAGCAAACCAGGTGTTTGGGAAAAGTAAATAATTAAATATTTAAATATTAACCAAATCTCTTTGAATGTATTGTAAATATTGGAACTTTATTGTCTTTTTTTTAAAGTCTTAACTTTCCATACTCGGCATCTTGAAAGAAAGTTCGTGCTACCCAATGTTTATGGGTGGGGAGCTATACTGAAGAAATGATACTTTCCTGAGGAACGAGAAAAGCTGAAGTCATTTTTCTTCTTCTTTTCCTTATTTATAATTGCCTGTTTTATGGTCACATAGCTTTTGACCGGCGTATTGTAGATAGCCTTTGCATTGTGTGTTCATGTTTTTTACCTGATCTTTAAGGGCAGGCTAAGGAAATGGCCAAAGTCAGGCTTCTTTCATCTGCCATAGTAATTGATGTTTTTGATTCCAGGAACATTCAAGACAGATCACTCCTCAAAGTGTACAACAAGGATCCTGCACATGCATTTAATCACACACCAAAAACTATGAATGGAGACCTGAGGGTAAGTGTTTCTGTCCTATTTTTAATTTTATTCAGTGGGTCAAAGCATCCTTCCTCTTGCTTTTACTCCTGATGTAATCATACTCTACAGCTGAGTTTTGGGGGGTTCTCCATACTCATCTCACCTAGTGGATCATTATTTGTTCTTGGTAGAAAAGTAAGATTTCCTGGTTATTTAGGGCAAAGGGATTAAAATAAGGCCGGGCACATCCTAATTTATCTTTAAGCAAGGAGTTATGTCCTTACTTTAAATAAATTCTGAAAATCTTCCTATCAAAGGGTCCCTGGTCCATAATACATTAACCGGCTCAGAAGATCTCTTGCATTTTTTTCCTCCAATTAAAGGAAACCTAACATACAAACAGGCAGACAGCAAGGTGCACAATTGCATGGAAAATCTATTCATATTCTTACATGAGCTCTTCCAAGTCCTAACATTCTAATACAATTTCTCACCTTCTAATTCAGGAGCTACCCTGGAAGAATTTTGTTGTTGTGCTGTCTTAAATATTATCAAATCCTCTCTGAACCATGTTGAGGGCATAATACAAAAATCTGCATGATTTGGGAACTAAAATTCTCTAGATTTAGATTGTCTCAGGAGATTATCCGAGCATTCAAAGCACACAGGGATGTTTTGAAGAAAAAAAAAAAAAAGGAGAAACTGAAAAAGCAGATTTTAAGATCACATTAATGCAGGTCCACTAGAAAGGAATTGAGTTTCTAAAAATAATGCTACATTCCTCTGTAGCAAAACTGGGAGGTAAAAAGATTAGCTTCTCAGCCGCGCACCCCCTACACACACACACACACACATTTGGAAGACACTGTGCCATTTTTTCTCATCTTTTCTACAGATTAGCACTTGGCTGGATGCTCGTTTAACTAGAAAAAAAAATAAATGATTACCTTTTATTGCCGAAGAAACCCAGACACTCTTCTGTCTTGGAGTTGCAGTGTTGTTCCTGAGTGAGGCTGTCTCTGCTTCCGGATAGCACATATTAGTTTCCTGTTGCTGCTGTAATAAATTAGGACAAATTCAGTGGCTTAAAACAACACAGATTTACTGTCTTACAGTTCTAGAGTCTGTAGACTGGAAATCTCTCTGGTCTGACATAAGGGGTCACCAACAGTTATGCATTCTTTTCCGGAAGCCCTAGGGAGAATCTTTTCTTTTTTTTCCCAACTTCTAGAGGTCACTGACATTTCTTGGTTTGCTGTCCTCTTCCTCCATCTTCAAACCCAGCATGATAGCTTCCCTTTGATCCTGCTTCCGTGGTCCGTAGGTGGGTACCAGAGCTGCTGGTACCTACCTACGTCCACTTTTAAGGACACTTTAAGGACACTGAGCCTACCCAATCCTCCAGAAAAAGCTCCCTATTTCAAGGTCAGCTGACTGGCAACCTTGACTCTCCCTTTTCCATATAACCTGATGTAGTCACAGGTTGAGCGGACTAGAATGCAGACATCTTTCAGGGACCACCATTCTGCTTTCCATATGGGGTAAGTTTAGAACCAGAAAAGAAGCCAGGAGATCTAGCTGAAAGTGCTGGGAGAAGGTCTGTGTCCTTCTGGACTGGAATACGAATGACGACATTGTGGGATCAGAGCCTACACTTCTGGAGGGAAAGGCCTCTCACGTACTCAGCTGCTGTTATTTTTGTGTCAGAAATGATGTGTGACTTGAATTGAAAGCTGTGTTGCTACTTCAGAAATTCTAGGATTTTGAGGTTTATTTCTCCGGTTATACTTTATGTGTAAACCAGAGCCACATGGAGACAGATTGAGTCATGCCAGTCGTGAAGCATGGACTAAATATTACAGCACCATTTGCCTTTTCTTACTCTGTTATTCTCTTTCTCGGAGACATTCATCAATGTCTTTGCTCTTTGAATATCTTTATTTTTTGATATGTCTAGCCTTCACACTGGAATTCCATGGTGCTGAGTTCTGTTCCTGTCGCATAGAGCCATTTCCACACAGGTGCCCCAGAATCGCCTCTGATAATCTTGTTTGGGGCTGGAAGGACACCTGTTTTAACCCTCCAGAAGCTCTGGTACCTACCTAAGGAGCATCAGTGAGGACTGAGAGAATCAAATATTGACCGTATGAACAAAGCTGATCAGAATGCAGAGCATGTGCTACGGGTTTCTGCAGAGTGGTTCTGTTCTTCCTTGAAGATGAAACCCTACTGATCACTTTTTCTAGGTTACCCAGAGCCTACTTTAAGCTCTCATTGTGTGTGTGTGGGAAACTCAATCGTTGTCCCCAAATGAAGGGACAGTAAATGTTCACCATCTAACCAACAGACAAGCTTTTGTGTTTCAATGTGGATTACTTAGAAATGAGAAATAGAAAGCGGTTTCAAAGCCAGCTAGGTGTGATCATGCCTGCAGTTTGCAACTTGGTTCCTGTTCACAGTTTGCAGACACTAAAAGGCATGGAATTCAGCTGCCCTCACCTTTTGGCTCTGCAGGTTGGAATCTTTTTTCCTTTTTTGATGAGTGTGGCTGCATTGCCATTAAAGGGCAGGAAGCTTTGTTGAGCCCTGCCTCTGGAGCCCAGCTGCACAAGCAGCTGCCCATGGTGGAGAAGAGAAGCAGGGAACAGAGCAAGGATCAATTGTTGTAGACTAAACCACGCTGCAGGGTGGGGTTAGGGAACTCCATCCTCCCGTATGTTTGCAATGTGAGTATGGCCATGAAGGAATTCAACGCTAACTGCTCACACGAGTCAGTCACTGCAGTCCTGCCCCTGATGTCATTAGACCTCATTCCCCAGCCTCCAGAGACAGCCTGGCACAGAACTCCCAGCTGCCTGCTTATGACCAATAAACATGCATGTCATGAAAAACATCGGTTGGAATAAGCAGAGGGGCAACAGCAGTCACACCAGAACTCCTCAGGGGTTTCGGAGACTTTCCTTAAACAATGAATGTGATATCTTGCCTTTGAAAGAAAAGAAAATGTAAAACTCTCCGTCTAAAACAGTCTTCCCAGAGCGGTCTTATGATTGGAAATGTGTTACTCAGGAAGCGTGCTAGACTAGGCCTTAGAGTGTGCGTGAAATGCATGCTTCGTGGGGAAAACGTGTATCTAGATTTTCATCTAGCATCTAGCTGAGCGTTTCTGAGGCTAGTCTGTCTAAGGAGACCTGTGGTTCTCGGCTGGAAGTCAGCACACCTGGCTCCTGTTTCTCTGCGCACCACCCTGATCTCATTTAATTGCATGGCTTTTGTTTCCTTACATCAGATAGGAGCTTTGATAATTCAGTTCCCAAGGGACTGAGCTCACCATATGGAACAGGCCCTTTTGCAAAATTTATATATGTCCTCACAGGGTTTTAAATTCACAAATGTACAACTCGAAGATGGAACCATTCCATTTCATGATTCTCAAAAAGTACACGTTTCTCCATACCACCTGTTTGTTGAAGGAACTGGACAGTTCTCCTGCTTTGAGGGTGACTTGCTAGTCACCAAACCTGGTGGCTTTTCATAGTGTGGGGGCTTCTCCACCTTCTTGTGTGCTTTAAGACAACTTTCCAAGACCCTCTGCTCTCATCATTTTATACTCTCCCTCTTCTCTGCTTCCTTTAATTTCTCTTGCATGTCTTCGATTTTTACTTGCATATAGACAATTGCTAGATTGGCCCTACTTGTGAAATCATTCCCTAATACCCAAGGTAATTGCTGCCTCCCACTCCTCTTCTACTGACCTTTGTGTTTGACACCAGTGAGTGATCTCCTTAGAAATCATTGGTCTCCATGGCACTGCTGTGTCTAAATTCCTCGTCTGCATTCACAGACACCTCAGCCTCCTTCATTCCCTAACTCTTCTTCCTCTTGCGTGTGTTCAAGTGGCTTCTCTAGTTTGGGGTTTATTTGTTTTGTTTTTATAAATTTGCTTTTTTATCTGAACCTTTGCACTTGTGATTCTTATCTTACCACTTGTTTGACTATTACATCGATGTGGATGACCCACGAAGCCATATCCCTAGCTCTGCCATCTCTAGAATTCAAGACCCAAATGTTCAGCTTCTAAGTGTCTTCACATGGAGATTATTTCCACAGTTTCCAATCCTTTCTGTTGAAGAAAAAATTCCTAATATTTCTCCCACTCAGTCTTTATCCTTCTTGATTACCTTTTGAAGAATGGAGGGGTTATGATGGGGTGTGTGTATGTGTGTGCACATGCATGTGTGCCTGTATGTGTATGCATGCATATTTTGGGGAATGTGGACGAAGGGATGTAAAACATTGAATTGTCAATGATTCTTCTCTTGCCTGACCTTTGTTCTTCCAACGCATTCACCTGGTCACCAGAGCTCATCCACTCCCCTCTGCAAGGTCTCTAACAGATGAACCTTCTGCCACTGCCTGTACCAGTATTCTTACAATAGCTAACCTATTTGAGCATTTATTAAGCACTTTTGTGGGAATTTTTTTTAATTTTTTTTATTTTTTATTTTTTGAGAGGGAGTCTCGCTGTGCCGTCCAGGCTGGAGTGCGGTGGTGTGATCTTTGCTCATTGCAACCTCTGCCTCCTGGGTTCAAGCAATTCTCCCACCTCAGCCTACTGAGTAGCTGGGATTACAGGCATGTGCCACCACGCCCAGCTAATTTTGTATTTGTTTGAGTAGAGACGGGGTTTCTCCATGTTGGTCAGGCTGGTCTCAAACTCCTGACTTCAGGTGATCCGTCTGCCTCGGCCTCCCAAAATGCTGGGATTACAGGCATGGGCCACCACTCCTGGTCAGTAATTTTAATTATTTAATCCTCAAGATAAACTTTTGAGACAGGTCTTGGTATAAGTTCCCCTATTTACAGATGAGGAGACAGCTCCTTGTGTTAAGAGATTTTCCCAAGGCCACACAGCCAGAGAGTAGCAGAGAGGCACTGCTACTGCACCCAGGCACGGTGGCTGCTGAAATTACAACCTTCATTGTTTATCTACTGAATCACCTAACAGTTCTTACTTCCCACATCTCATTCTCCTGTTTTCTTTTTCCAAGTGTCTCAAATTCACTCTCCCTCTCTACATATCTGTCTTTCAAAATTCTACTCATCTAACATATTCCAGGACAGTTGTCTAATTCCTTCAGCAAATTGCTGGCATGAAAAAAAAAAGTGTGGGAAGGAGCGCAGTTAAGTTTCTCAGGGGCCTTCTGTACCATCATAACAAAATGTGGCCTATGCACCATCTTCAGATTTTGAGAAGAACAAAGCAACTGTAAAATACATCTTTAAAACTATTTGGGAAATTTGAACATGTGTTAGGAATCAGGAGATATTAAGGGATAGCTGGTAATTCTATTAGGCATAATAATAGGTTAGTGGTTATGTTTTAAAAGATGGAACATACTAAAGTATTTACAGGTTAAATGACATGACAAATGGGACTTGCTTTAAAATACTGCAGCAAACCAAGAAACAAAAACGTGGAAGTAGATGAAACAAGATTGGTAAAATGTTGAAAAATGTCAAAGCTGGATGATGTGGGTACCTTTTGTTGTTTCCTCTACTTTTTGTGTTTGAAAATTTTCGTAATAAAATCTGTTTGTTTTTGTTTTGTTTTGTTTTGTTTTGTTTTTGAGACAGAGTCTTGCTCTGTCACCAGGCTGGAGTGCAGTGGTGAGATCTCAGCTCACCGCAACCTCCACCTCCCGGGTTCAAGCAATTCTCCTCTCTTAGCCGCCTGAGTATCTGGGATTACAGGTGCACACCACCACTCCTGGCAAAGTTTGTAGTTTTTACTAGAGACGGGGTTTCACCATGTTGGCCAGGCTGGTCTCGAACTCCTGACCTCAGGTGATCCACCTGCCTCGGCCTCCTAAAGTGATAGGGTTACAGGCGTGAGCCACCATGCCCAGCCCATAATAAAATCTTTTACAAAATAATAAACACTTGTTTTTAGAGCCCCAATGAAAGACTACCTACTCCAGGAAGCTTTCGCTAATGCCCTGTCAGAATTCATCGTTCCCTTTTGGGGGCCTGTTGCACATTTGTGTTGTGTTATAATCATTTAAATGTGTGTTCATCTAAAAGACTGTACACTCTTCAAAGGCACAAGCCATATTATGAGACGGGTCATCTTCACATCCCTCCGAAAACCGGTCATGGCATCTTAACCCCTGGTGAGTGCAGAGTAAACACACTTGTTAAACAGGATGCGCTGAGTGTCCTACGGATGGTCCTACAAATGCCATATTTTTCATTTTCTGTCATTAATGAGGACCCACTGTAAAAATATCTCTCTGTTCTCATCACCAGAAATAGTTGTGCTTCTCCTGGTTTATTTTTATCATATGGACACTTTGAATCTTGTAAGTGATCATTTTCCCTCTTTGTGTTGCTACTCTAAAGCTTAGAATTAAATTTGTGGCCCACCCACAGCAAGGGTACAGGCATTTGTGGCGTGTGTTTTGTGTGTTGGCTTCATTCCTGGACTCTCTTTTTAATTTTCCTACTTTCATCTTCCTTTTGTTGCACACTCCACTTTGACTTCTTTTTTCTGTAAAATTGTAAAAATGTATAGGGACTCTATTAATTTCTTGGTGCAATCTATCAGGATATAACTAGTGTTCATTCTCTGCCATCGTTGTTCTAGATAGAAGATAGCAAACCTTTTTGTGTCTGCTGAGTAGGCAATGTGTTAAGTACTTTACATATTATTTAAATGAGTCAGTAACTCTGCGAAGTGGGTATACAGACTTCATTTTCACAGGTGATAAGACTGAAGCCAAACAGGTCTTTCCCAAGCTCACACATC